ATATTAAAAGAAATTGCTATACCAAATTAAAGATGATAGATACATGTACATACAGATGAAGATGGTTTGTTTACTAAGTTTCATAAAATCGTCCAACATATAATATTCAGACACAGACATATCTCATATCTCTCTGCATGAGCATTGAATGATAAGTTCAATTAGCCGGCTAGTGTGGGTGTGCATGTGCATGTAGTCGTTAATCTTCATATGATTACCAAGGTGCACCTGCAGAATATGAGTAACTTTCTATATTCAGACCTACAGCGGGATTTAGTGCTGTTATAAGCACTCGCACATGCTCTCGCGTACGCGCAGTCACTCACACACACACACACACACCCACACACACACACACACACACACACACACACACACACACACACACTCATGCTAAATGCCCCCCCCCCCCCTTCTCTCTTTCACTTCACCTCCTCTTTGAACGATATTCCATTAGAAATAACTACATACACATTCTGAAGTAATATCTAGTTGTAACTGAACACTGAAATACATTTAGGTCTCCGTTACCCGCTGTCAGACAACGTGTTATCTCCAAATAATGGATTATGAGTGACGTTTGTAATTGTTACACCACTGGAGCTCACTAAGTTACTTTCCTCTCACTTCTATTACAATCTCAATCTCACTATAAGTATTGTTGCAAAATGTCTCTCCTATCACAGTAAGAATGTAATTTCTGGCTATCAGTGTGATTATTTTTATCACTAGTTTTTCAAATATGATTAATTTCTGTTCTCATTTATTGTCGTCATTAAAATAATTGCGTCGAAGTCTTCACAAACCGACGAAGGTACAAATCTGGCACTTATTGAGATTATGCCATTGGACATTGATGACTTGCAGGTATTTAATCAATATGGGCTTTGAAAACAAGATATCAGAGGACTGTAAGAATAAGCAAGAGAGGGCATCTGCGAAAGGGGAAAATCTGAGAAAAGGAAAAAGGAATTCTACCCATTCACCGAAGTGTGGAAACACCAAGGATTATATGTATGTATATCATAATTATAGTCATCCCTATCATTGAGATTGACTATTGAGGTATTATCGTCAATATTTTGTCCTAATTACGATAACATCCTCGTCGTTATCATAGCGGATTTCTTTTACATCGTTGTAAACCTAAACAACATATCACAAGCTATATATTACTCAAAAGCCAATCTCACGTGCGGCAGCGAGGAACATGAAATATACATAGATTTTCTTCCCAGATCATCCGCCCCCGCCCGCCCCTTCTTCCGACCCCGCAGTTACAACAACAACACCGCCCTAACATCCAGGTTCTAACACAAGGACATATGTTCACTCTGGGAAATAAAGATCTTATCATCTCCGACACAGGTGTTGTGTACATAACTATCTCTCCGACAGAAGAAAGAAAAATATACATTCATCTTGCTACACTTTTTACCACATCCTCTTTTCCGAACACCATGCTCTTGGCACGTGCGCGAGGGAAACACTTTGTGAAAAAGGAAAAGGAAATTCTTGCGTAGGACCTCTGGCTTATCCCTGTGCATGTGTGTGGCTGGCAAGAAACCGCAACTGATGGAAGAGAGAGAGAGAGAGAGGAGAGATGTCTGTTGTGTTTGTGTGAGTGTGTGATGTGTGTGTGAGTGTGTGTGTGTGTGTGTGTGTGCGTGTTTGTGTGTGTGTGTGTGTGAGTGTGGTGTGTGTGTGTGTGTGAGTGAGTGTGTGGTGTGTGTGTGTGTGTTGTGTGTCTGTGTGAGTGTGAGTGTGTGTGTGAGTGTGTGTGTGTGTGTGTTGTGTGTGTGTGCATGTTGTGTGTTTTGGTTATGATAATTGAACGGGTCTTTGTAATTTGAAATTTGATATATTCCGTTTCATCATGCACTTGCATATCCCTTTGTAGCTAAAATAGAAGGATCATAGAGGTCACACACGGCTTAATGCACTCAGGTGAAAAACAATTTAACCAACCTTCAGCAATGCAAGATGTGTGGCTGAGCGTTGAACAGGTGTGCTGGCGTTTTTCTCCCCATCTATCGCCCTTATGACTCCACGGCCGTTTTTCTAAGTAATCGAACAATCAGAAAATGAATTGATGTTACGGTAAATGAAATTATATTGTGTATGTATATACATATATACATACATATATATACATACATATACATACATACATACATGCATATATATATATATATATATATATATATATATATATATAATATATTATATATATATATATATATATATGGAAAGGAAAACAGCCACAGTAAGAAAAAAAAAAAAA